CGGGGCGGGCTGCGGGCGGCTGGGCCCAGAGATCCCCGGGGATCTCACATGTGCCGCCCTTTCGCAGGCCCAAAGGGAAGAGGCAAAGAGCGCGGTCTGCCGAAGATTGCTGAGAAGGTTGAGTGGCTGCCGAGGTGCGTAGCCAGAAGGAGCAGCCCCAGGCCGCTGAGTTTATTGCTCAGAAAACTAACTTTCACTTTCTACTTGTAGCTTCTCTTAATTATGAATCAACAAAGAAAATGGGTACTCTGGCCTCCTTCTTCTTAGAATATAGACCTACCTACTGTTTGATTTCAAATTAAAAACAACAACAAACAACTAGGGTTTCAGCCTAGACTTTCACACTGAGCTACATTCCCAACAGGATCTCACTAAGCCGCTAAATTACCTAGGCTGGGCGCCAATTTGAGAGCTTCTGCTTAGCCTCGTAGAGTTCTGGAATTACAAGCATATGTCCCTGTGCCTGGCGAAGCTTACTTGTTTTGTTTTTAAAAAATTTTTATGGCGAGATTGCGGTTGTAGCTCAGTGCTGAATTTAAAAGGGTGTGTGTGTGGAGGGGTGACCTGCTCAGCATTTGTAGCATAATTTGGGTATTGGTGTAAATCATCTGATGACTTCTCCCTGAATCTTAGCAAATTCCAGAGTATAGACAGTGACGTGGAGACTCAAGTCCAGACGGTGCAGACTAACTGTGTTGTCTGTTTGTTAGCATTCAGTTAAGAGATACAGGAAAGAAAAGTCTGCAAGAAAGTAACACTTGCGAAGAGACCCAGAGTGAGATTGCTCCGTTGAGCGTACGTATGTTTCTGTCCTTGGCTTCTTATAGAGATGTACAGTAACTGATGTGCTTCCAGGTGAAAAAGTAAAATGGTTTTCGTTCAGTAGAACGTGCCTCACGGGGCCAGGGATTTAGCTCAGTAGTGCGGCTGCCTGCCTCACAAGCTGAAGGTCCCGAGTTTGATCCCTGGTACAAAAAAAAAACAAAAAAAAAAAGTGTCTCGCTGTTTAGTATTTTTGCAGACACTGACATGTCCTTAGGAAGACCTTGAATTTCTAACAGGTAGATACATAGCTATACACTCACTTTTTTCTCTAAAGTATTGAAGAAGTGTGTGTTTTTTTGTTAGGTACCAGGGATCAAACTTGGTACCTTGCGCTTGTGAGGCAGGCAGTGGAACCACTGAGCTTATTCCCCGGCCCTTGAAGAAATGTATGTTACTGATTTTCTGACAGATTTAAAACTTAAACTCCTTTATGTTTTAGTAGCACTTAAACATTTTAAAGCCATTTTCACAGTTTTCCATTTGACTTTCCATTAACCATGAGAAACATGATTTACTACTAAGCTCAGGGCAGGGCATTTAGCTCAGTGGTTCTATGGCCTGACTGAAAGGGCAAGGATCTGAGTGCAATCCCTGTTACCAAAAGAAAAAAACAAATGAAAAAGAAAACACATTACTAATTTCAGTGTATTACAGAGTATTTCAGTATTTTTTCACTAGACTATTAACTTCTTGATGTGATATATTTAATATGAATTCTGTATGCTATTTTACAGCTGTATAGTAGTAATTTGGGAAACTCATTTTTAAAAATTGTGACTTGAGACTGTAATATTAAACTTGAGAGTCAAGTTTTAGTTTACAGATTCTACTGTAACATGTTTTTGAGGGCTGCCAGTTTCAACATAAACATTTTTTTTAAATGGCTTTTGGCCCGTATTTTAACAGTACATGGCGAAGTGTTCTTGTCGATCATTCTGCTATGCAAAACATAATTTTAAAAGTTTATTCATTAGTATATTTCCTTCTGCTTTTTTTCTGTGCTTTTAAAACATTGTACAAGTAGTTATATTTCTGAAATACTGAATAGTCTTCAATTATATGATTTTTAGTGTTTTGGCTTCTAGACAGATATACTGTAATTTGTATAATTATTTTCCTGAGGTTGGGAAACATTGCTTCCCTAGTACGGCTGTTGTAGATAGCATTAGAGAGCCTGCTACAGAGGTTTTGTGTGTGTGTGTGTGTGTGTGTGTGTGTGTGTGTATCGTTACCAAAAAAAGTACTTTTCAGTTGGTCAAAAGGTGGATTGTGTTTAAAGTTTTTAGTTCATGTTGGCAAATCAGCACCATCTTAGCCAAAACTTTTCATCTTGATAGGTGAAAAGTAGCATGTTGTTTTATTTTCCAAATCTTTGAATGCTTGTGAAGTTGGTACTTTTCTTCATAAGTTATTGGCCATCTTTATTTCTTTTTTCATGCATGAAGTATCTACCCATTATATATTTCCATATTTGTCTATGCATCTTTTGGTTTTAGACTTATCAGTCTTTTAATTTATTTGCCTTTATGTTTAGATTTTTAAAAAACCTAAATGATCAGAAAAATATTCACCTTTTTTTTTTTTACTTACTAGCTTATCTCACAACACTGAGTTAGCTAGTGCAGTGTATTGTTGCTTACCGGAATATGTTCATAGTATAGTTTTAATTATTTTTAGATTTACTGTTAAACAATAGGTTCCATCTGTGATCAGTTAGCTAAAAAGAAAATCTGTTGTGGGAATGAAGCTGATACACAAAGGTGACATTACTTTCTCATTCTCCAAATAACCAATGTGATATGAAAATACTCAGTCTCATAATTTTTGCTCTATCTTTCTTATTCTCCATAGGAGTCAGTGACTGATGACCTCCAGGTTGACAGTAGTTCGTCAAATAGTGAGCTAGTATCAGGTAAGACTATCAGATATGAACTCCCTAGGCTTTCTCTTTCCTCCAAACATAAGCATCTAAGTGTGTCTCTCTACAGCTTTCCATTTTCAGTGAAAGAGGGAGGTGTCTTTAGCCTAGTCCAACGTGAATTCTCACCATGCTCTAGACTTCATTCTCAAAGCCTATAAGCATGCACTAATTAATGTGAAATTGTAATTGTAAAGAGTGTTATAAAAGAGATTGGCTTGAGTATAATTAATTGAATTTAGCTAGAGAGATTAAGGAATGTTTCCATGAGCAAAAGACAATTGATTTGAGATCTGTGGGAGAGTAGAAATTATGCAGAGAAATGAGTGAAGAGAAATCAAGGCAGGGGGAGCAGTATGTGCAGAGTCTTAACCACAGGAATAATCAGTACATATTCAGTGAAAGAAGGCCAGTATGGCTGGAGTACAGAGAGCAGGAGGAAATGTGATGGATTACAAGACAAGCTTAGCCAGATAGAGGCTTTGCATAACCTTATAATCCATGTCAAAGGTACTGATATCTACCCTTACAGCAGCAGGAACTATTAAAGTCTTTCAAATATGGAGTGATAAGACCACGTAAGTTGCAGATTGTATCTTTAAGATGACTAGCATTGTCAAATAGGCAGAGGGTAGAGGGCTGATGAGAAGAATTTTTGAGCCTTCTAAATATTGGTACAATTGAAGTTACTTTTGAAAATGAGAAAGAATGTTATTAGTACAGCAGAAATACAGAGGACTTAAAAGCAGACGAGATTGAATCAGTGAATATATCAAAAGCAGAGGTAAGAATATCACTAGAAATACTCCAAATTCTTGGTCAGAAACTATGGTGAAGGAGCTCTGAAGGAACTGTCAAGGTGATGGATTGAAAAGTGCTGTGCTTTTGAAATACTTGGCCCCTTTCTCGTCCCCTTCTTCTATTAGAAACACTGGATTTTTGTTTCATTTTGCACATAGATAACCAATTGTTGTAGCACAGTTTGTATTTCAGAAATTATCCTTCCTCTACTAAGTTGCCTTTACATCTTGATCAAAAATCTGTTGCTGGGCCGGGGATTTAGCTCAGTGGTTCGGTGGCCTGCCTTGCAAGAGCAAGGACCCGAGTTCAATCCCCCATACCCCCAAAAAAAAAAATCTGTTGCTGGGTCCAGGGATGTAGCTCAGTGGCACCAGGCATGCCTTGAAAGTGTAAAGTCCTGAATTCAATCCCTGGTGTGTGTGTTTGCGGGGAATCAATTGCTCATATTTGAGTCTAGTACTGATCTATCTTTTCAGTTCCTTTTATCTATTTGTCTGTGTAGGCTCATTGTTTTTCTGAATGAAATAACTAGACTCGCCCTTTCCTTAGCTGATTAGCTTGCAATTAGTGAACGGCTTACTTATGTATGGAGCTTGAATTTGTGAGCCAAGAATCACAACTGACCCAAAAGAAAAGGAGTAAGTCATAAAATTTTGAAAAACAATGGAAGAAGATTATGATGCATTCTATATA